GTATTGTAATGTGGTACAATCGGGGCAGCAGGTGGAACAGCAGGTAGCCGCATCAAAGTCATTTGTGTCACACTAATGCAAACATGCCAAACCTACATGGTGCTCTAATGGTTTGAGAGACTAATGCTGAACTGAAAAGATGATTGTGCTGAACTGAGAAGATGATTTACCCACAGTACCTCACACAACAACATTAAGGGTCACAGAGATAGAAAAAATGGTTACAGTCAGAAAAAAACAGGGAAGAAGGTGGAAGATGGGGTAAAGGCTGGTGACGGGGAAGAAGAGGTGGCTGTAGCACAGATTGCAGAGCGGTTCGGCCATATAGTGAGGTTGTTGGTTCGATCCCCAGCTCCTGTCTGTCTCTGACACAGAGTCAGTCCCCCAGAACATTCCTCATGACAAAAGCATACTCTAAATCAATGTAAAAAGGAAGTTAATACTTTGAAAGGGACTGCTTTTGACAGCATTTTCTTGACATATATATAAAAAAAGCTTAAATTAATTATATTAATATTATTATATTAAATTAAGAAGGAACCACAGATCCAAGAAAAATACTGTATATCCACAGTGACTCTTTTCAAACACTGGATTACGATTAAATATTGCTGTGCTCCAGTAGTATTATTTTACCAGATGATTCATTTGTGATCTTTCCTTGATTTTGAGTTTTTAAAAACAACAACATGCTTTTTGGATTCATCTCTTGATTTTCCACAATGGATGAACTGCAATGACCTGAGCATTTCGGTTCTCTTTGTAGAAAGATCCTGCACTCAGTCTCGCAGTAAAATTGTCCTCTGTTCCCTCTCCTGCACTCAAAAGATTTATATGTTGCTCGAATTAAATTAGGATAGAGTGAACCTGCCTCCCTGCATGTGTTGAGTGGGTAGTAATCTATGTTGAAATGTCTGTTGGAGTCATTTGGCTCAGTGTCCATAGTCCTTTAATGGGTGGAAGAGATTCCCTCTAGATTGATGTGATAGATGGAAGCCATTACAGGTCCACCAATTACTGCTGGGTTATGGAGACGGAGACAGCAACACAATGCAGAGAGTGTAAAGACAGTGTGCATGAAGTGAGACAAAAATCTTAATCACAGTCAGTTTAATTGGAAACAACGGTTGCACTAATTGTACAGCAATTTGTCTCCATGACACTGGTGCAGGGACACTTTCACCCTGACACCCTGGTACAAGAAGAACAGGTCCACAAGCGGATAGTAGACAACAAGCATTGTGCACAACAAGATTACATCAAGTACTCTACAGCTGTGTGCACTGAAGAAATACTTTAGAATACATAAAGTGTGGTTGAAGACTAGCTGTAGTTAAAGGAGTTCTAGTATATGATGCATTTAGGTTAAAAGCAGATATTATTATTTCCTGTATTTCTCAACAGTAAACATCAGTCTGTGAAAATTCAAGTTTGAGGAAGTCTAAATATTTGGGTTCTTTATAGATAAAAATGCTGTTTTTGGATGGAACATAGGATTTCATAATTCCTTGCTGGGAATTGTATTAACAAGACACACAGACAGGCACACAAAACACAAAATCCCTCAGCATTTACAAAAACATGAGAGAAGCAGACACAATACGTTTCCTGTTGCTGTTGCTACATATATGTATTGTGTCTGTTTCTGTCACATTTTGCTAAACAGCAAGGCCAGTTCTGCACTGTGTAGTACTGAGTCAATATCACCAGCAAGCCAGTTTTCAGCGTTAGCTTCGTCCCTTTTTTTAACTGGTCGTGCTTGGATACAGCACAAAGACCAAAGAGGAAGAGTGAAAGTTTGAGCCAGATTGACAACATTTCAATCCCAGATGGTCTTCTTGGTGAGTGTAAACACAACAGTATGTACTAGACAGTTTGTGTGGAGACATCACACCATCATCTCCTCACAGAGAATGGGAATGTGATGTCAACAGAAAGTCAGCCATTTTTGGAGTCTCAACCACTTTAACTTGGTTTAACTTTCAACCTCGGTAAACACTGTTGTCTAGTGGGCTGAAACATCCAATCACACGACCAGATAACAAAAAAATTTATCAAAGAATTACTTTTCATTTATTACCTACATGAACACTAAATGTGGGAGGGAATTTAAATGTTAGTGTTATCTAGTGACAGCTAGCTTGTATGGTTTATGGGGATTATGTTTGCATTTGTTGCTAAGCTAACAAAAGTTTTGTTGATCAAGTAACTTTACACAACTTTATGGTATATTTACCTCTCTGTGAATATACATTACTGTCAGATTCTGAACCTCCATACCGACAGTCAGGGAACAAAATTAGAATCAGCCACCAGCCAAATGCTGCTATAAAATGCCTTTCACCCTACTTTATACATTTCTGATGATGAACCATTTACAGTGACAGATAATGACAGCACGCTATCCTCTAAAAATGTCAGCACCACCCCAGAGTAAACTATCCAAATGTGAATTTATTATTATCTCATTTAATTTTTGATATTGTTACCTAATCCAGCTGCTGCTCATGTTAATGTTAAGATAATATGTTGATAACACAGTCTATGTGGTGTTTGTCCAAGCCCCCTATACACAAACACCTTTCTGTCTTTCTTTCTCTCCTTCACATTCCCTCTTCAGACTTCATGATCCCTCCTCTACCCACTCTATCCCTGTCACAACAGGTACATTCACTGTCCTTTGTGGCGCAAGAAGAGAAGAGAGGTGCCAGCATTTTATTCACTTAGATCTATTCAGTTTGACAACATCAGGCAGCCTGAACTTTGACCTCTCTCACTCTGACAAGAAACGTGTATGAATCCCACGTTATAGAGGAGAAAAACTTAAAGTCCCTGACAGATATGAGAGAATAGAAGTGGGAAGAGGGGTGGTGGGCGGGGGTTGAGGGAGTAAAGGAAAGATGTTTGACAGAATAAGAGCATACCTGGGGAGTGTGTGTAGCTTATGAACAGATGCCTGCTGCATTTCTGAGTAGTGCTGCTTGTTGAAAGATCAGGAGTAAATTTCAAAAGGAGATTAGAGGAGGTCAAAAATATATACATTCTAAAAAAAAAGGTTGAGTTAAAATGAACTGAAACTGTGAGCTCTATCCTCAGTTGCTAGAGTATAGGTGACCTTTGCTTTGACCTTATCAATGTGACCACAATTTGTTAAACTTGACTAATGCTCCTGAATAAGATGGATTGAATAAATAAAACAGTGAGAAAGATGTCCTGTTGCCTTGTCTTCCCAAACATCGGCTGAGTGGTTTTGGCATTAATCTTCTGACTTTTAAATAAAATCACATTAGGTCAATTAATTATTATTATTATTATTATTAACCTTCCAACTTAGTGCAGTGCTCTCAACCTGGATGCCTAAATGTGACAGTTTAGCTTATTTGAACCAGATGATTTATAGGCTTTTAGTTTAATTCTCGACAGAGGCTGTAAATATTAATTCAAAAAAGGATGTTTTTGCATTTCATGAACCCCAACCAAAGTCATCTCTCATCTCCCGAGGTGTCCTGACCCTGGGACAAGAACAAAAGCAGTGAATGAATCATGAGTTTTTGATGAATATTACAAAAATGACTATAATTTAACAACAGGAGACAAACATTTGCATTGCTGTCTCACATGGTAATCGTCTTCTTATGAAAAATAACAATCTAATAAGATGCAAACATGGAAAGAGAATATTAACAACCCACTAGTGCTCACAGCAATACCTCCTGATCCTGATTCATAACCCAGCCAGGTGTCCTGTCAGTACATGAATATTCAATAAATACAACACAACCCCCAAACCTCTGGTGACGGTTTAATTTTGGTCACTGCGAATGCTGGATAGACTGATTTTAGCATTATAACTGAGTACTTTATTAGTCTCAGTGGGAAATTGCAGCAAAGTAAGGCTATAATGATGTTTAAAAAAGTTGATAATTGACAGACATAAAAATGAAAATATTAGATTATTTTTCCAGACTTTTTTGATTAGGGTGACACAAGGGGGGCAATGACTTATGCAAGGGTGGCATGAAGTATGTGTCTCTGTTTTCATTCCCAAAGTATGCAATTTCACTGTTTGTGTACCTTTGGTATGTAGAAATAGAAGTACACTAAGTGAAAATAACACACTTATACCACATGCCCAAAACTGCATGTTTCTTCCCCAAACTGCATGGGATTAGCATAGAGTGGGCATGTCTGCAAAGGTGAGACTCATGGGTACCCATAGAACCTATTTTCAGTTATCTTGAGGTCAGAGTTTAATAGAGCATTGGTGGTTTGCACCAATGGATACATCAGGTCATCTAGTTTTATATAATACCAGTACTTCACAGCTTTAAAATGGAGTCCGCTAAACAAGACAGTGGAAGAGGTTAGGATAATGGGGTGGCCAATCACATTTCAGGGGTGGCCAGTGCCCCCTGTTTCCAGGATAACTGAACTGCTTGCTTGCACTTCAGCTCATGAACTTTTCCTGCCTGGGCATTAATGTCCTGCTATAGAAACATTTGGGAAAGTAAGTCAAGATACATTTCTGAAACATGATTTGACAGTACAAGCATATCTTTTGAATAAACTGTGTGAACCTACTGTCACATTGCACATTGAAATTAAGTTTAATCCTGAGAACAAAACAGACCAAGCACCCTCTATTAAATTGTATTATTTCTCTGAAAGCAGCAGTTTTACTGCCACTTTCTAATTCTAATAAAGGTTCTAATAAAGCTTTCCTCAAACAGCTAAGAAATACAATTCAGATAGAAAAATATTCAGATATCTTTAAACTGACACATATTGTGGTCAAACTTTAAGATACTGAGTCTAGAAATTATGGTTCTAGTCACTCAAAAAGTATACACATAATGAACTTGAGGTTTAATTCAGCTAAAGTGACTCTAGGTGCAGGTTTACCTCCCATTTCAGCTCTGAATCGGGGGAAACCCGTCGATGAAAACCACCTGACAGCTCATTGGACCGCCCACTCCCCCTCTGCCCGGCCCCACCTGCATGTGTCCACACCGCTTGCTGATGGTGATTCACCGACAGAGGCTTTTCTGTTTTGGAGGCGAGAACTAAAGGCTATAGAAGCTCCTCATCCAGCGGCTGCCCCGCGCTGATTCGGCCGGTATTCTGCACCTCTCGTCCAGCGGCACATCTCCGCCTCCTCTCTGGGGCTTGTTCGGGTAACCGGGGGAGAAAAACGGAGAGATGCGCGCAGGGTCCTTGAACGCCACAAAGAAGTTCCCGAGGCTGACAGAAAGAGGACTCTCCTGTTGATTCAGCTCTTCTTTCCACCCCACACATTTCAGGAATATTCCAGGAGAACACTTCCCACCTCTATATGGCAAAGTTCCTGGCTGAATTACTGGGATGCACACTTCCAGACAAGGGCACTCCACCTTTGTTCGAGGTAAGGATGCCTTTAAATGCACTTCACAAACCATGCAACGTTATAGTGTGTGAATGTATGATCTGACACTCAAATCTAATACCAATACTGAGTTTGTATCCATGCATAAAAAGGTACAGGCTGTCTGTTCACCCCGGGAGTTCTCTATGGCAACAGGAGGCTGAGGCTTTGTTCATCAATATGATTGACAGTTGCTATGCTGTAAAGCACTTCATTAACAGTGATCCCTGCGGGTTCAGGTTTTAAAGTGCCTCTGCTGCAGTGCTCTGTGCACACTCACCGTTTCATACGGTGACAAATATTTATCCGGCGAGCTGCAGGCTGCGGATTAACGCGTATTATTTGCGTCTTTACGCTCACGGAAAATCACTGTAATATTCCTAAAATATCAGCTTATGGTTTATCTCTGCTGCTCATAATGAGTTTGTAATGACCTTGTCTTACTTTGTGTGGTGTTGTTTTTAATCTCCTACCCTGTCGCTGTGCTGCTGTTGTAGTGGGATCTTTTCCCCGTGATATTAGAGTATCCTGCCAAAACATATTTTAGGATGATTATAGACACTGTGGTGATTTTCAGCTGTAAGTCGAGCTGCATGTGGTGCCAGCAAGCGGTGTTTAGTAAGAAGTGGCTGAGACTCAAATGCTGCTCCTATTTGGGTCAGTGTGCCACACACACGCACACGCACACACACACACACACACACGCTGCACCTGTACTTCCGTGTCTGTGCCTGAGGACTGTTCACATATTTTCAACTCTACATGGATTGATGGATACATCTGTTGTGAAAAAACTGGGGGAGCTTTTTGTCTTCTTTCAGATGCTTCTCTGTAGGACTGTTGGGTCATATAATTGGAGTGAAATGACTGAACCAGTGTAATGAGTAGTTAGATAATGGATTGGATTGTGAATTATTCACCAATCAAGTAAACATACCAATCATTTGCTGGTCACATCTTAAATTCGATTTCCTGACTAGAGGTGTTCAGTACAGGTGCGAACAAATCTTTATCAACAAAAGGAATCATCTAATGTTGTAACTGCTGAAGTGCCTTTGAACCATGATGCGACCACTTAGCTTTACAGATGTCCCAATTAGTGATTGACCGATTAATCGCTCAGCCGATAATCTGCCATTTTAAGATAATGCCTGTGCTCACCAGGCCGATAAACAGAAATGTCTGCAGCCTTGTCAGTGTGGCTGCTGTAGAACAAGGTTAGCGCTCCCCTTGAGAGTTTTGGGAAGGTGGTGAAAAAGGTGGTTTCAAGCCCTGTACTATAACTCTCATGCATCCTACCTTAAACATCGAATTTCCTCTAGAAGAGAATAGAATTATACGTGACTTTTCTTTGTTTTGATATCTGGATTATACATCAGCCATCAGCCGAGAGTAGGTTGGGTCATGACTTTGCCATCCTGGGAAAGAATACGATGAATGGGACACTGCTGGGAAGTAGCCAGTGTCCAGTTTTTGGACACTAATAAATGAAGTGGTATCAGATTACAGACTCGCAGATTCCCATTTCCGCAGTATTTAGGCAGTATCGGAGGAATTTCCGATTCTGGTATGAGAACAACTCTACTTAGCTTCGTGAAAAATAAGTAAACAAGCTACATAGTCAGTGACTACAAATCTTTGAACTGAACTGAACAAAGATATTCGAATCATAGTATAGATGATGACGAAGAAGATGTTTTGGGCCACTAAAATTGCATTTTTATGTATTTCTTGGTCAACAACTAGAAAGATATTAATTTAGATATTTAATCAATTCATGCATTTACAGGTCAAAGTCAAAGATTATTGTTGCCCAAAAAGAAGTAACATGGATGAATGGGGATGATGGGACACAGGAAATAAACAGATTAGTGTGTTGCATGATGTTGTGTAATAATGTGACATTTATGTCCGACTCTGCTGATGAAAATATTACCAAAAGGAACTACAGTTCATCTTTGTGTCTGATATTGTCTATGTTTAAAACGGGACTTGACAGCCATTGCATAACACTAGCTCTAAATGAAAAACAGTTTTAGATTTATTCTCATCACAACGGCAGTAATCCACCACCACCACCACCACCGCAGGATTGTTAATCCATCAGGCATCATCTCAATCTGCCTAACACACACTGTGTGTGAGTCACGTATTAAAATCACCTCAGAAATGTGTCAGAGAGGATCATCATAGTAACTTCTGGGAAAATGAAATGATGACCTGCTCTGTTCGGCTTTACAGGGGACAAAGATTAGATTCGCAGACCGTTATATAAAGCCTTGCTTCCAATTCCACCTTTAAACATGAATATATTGAATAAGTGCACTGCTGAATGCACACAGAACACTGCAGGCTGCACAGTTTTAGTGCTTTAGGAAGAAAAGTAACTAATCTGAGTTTCGTGGGGGGGGGGAAGGCTGATAGGAGACTACAAAGATTACAAAGTGTCCAAGATGCATAAAAGAATAATATTTTATTAAGATATTTTCAAAATAAGGTTTTAATGTCATCATCAGACAAGACAGAGGGCAGTTAGTGAGGATGTGATGTTGATGATTGTGATGGTTGCTAATTCCTCTCCTTAGCCTAAAGGAAATGCCGAATGCTTACCTTTCATAGGCATTTATGATAGTCAATCCTTGTCAAATTATGTTTCTTTATTCACAAATTAGAGTTGACTTCCTTTTTATCAACTACAGAATCAAATTACAGCTGTTGCAGGATGAACATGGTGTTTAATGTAGTTGGCTGTGCTGTTTTGCTGCTAGAATGCAGTTAAATTGTGGTAAATGTGTGAGGCATCTGCAGGCACTTTTAGTCCCCAAAAGAGAAATCTGAGGCTTTTTAAAGGGAAAAAATCAGTAACAAAGTTTATTTGCAATTTTCTTTTCACTTTATCATTTCTAAATCAAAACTATCACACCTTTAAATGCACGTAGCATCCTGTAGTCTAAAATGGAAGCTTTTGTTTCACCAAACTCAGTCTTTAATTCGTTATTACCAACTTTGCCCTCCATCTCTCCTCCTCTGCATGTCTTTGTCTTGCTCTGACTTTCTTCCTTGCACTTTGCCACATCTCTCCTTTCAGGTTCCTTCGCTCTCTGCTGCAAACTCGTCATTTACTCACGTAGCTACGTCTGTCACTGCTGGCAGGCCTCCTCTCTCTCTTTATTCTCTGCAGCCTTTAAGCAAAGCTTTATTCATGGCAGGGAGCTTCTTTTTCAAGCGATATGTGGTTTGCAAAAGGCAAAGAAAAATATTAACATTACTGTACTCTCAAGGCCTGTCTATGCTTTTGAAAAGATGCCTACGCAAATTTTAGGAAAATCCAAAGAAGTGGTTTTCAGGGAGGAAAGTTTTAGAAAATTGTATTGTATGCACAGTGGGTTGCCATGGTAAGCTGTTGAGTACAAAATTTAAAACATGTACAGTTCTTTAGTTCCTTGTGTTCATTCATTCAATAGAAACCACAAAAAGTTACTTGCGGAAATACCTATTTTTGTACACACACACACACACACACACAAACACACACAATTTAAACACTTCTCCAACACATCCGACATCACTAAACCTTCAAATATAATCATATGGGGGATGATGTGTTGCATAACTGTGTGTCTGGATAAAGAGAGGATACTTTGTCTGTGTGTGTGTGTTTTAACTTTAAGGACGTTCAGTGAAACAGGGCATCATGTTCCCTGTAATTAAATTCTAATGTTTCATCTGTTGAGATTAATTTGTTTATGATGTTTACGCCAATAAATATGTTTTTGTAATTATTTGTGACAAATCAAGGCTACAATGCATGTTGCTGAATATGAATCAAGTGGTTATGGGTAGAAAATAGGGGACCGTTGTAGAATGTCAATTGGACAGAAAAGAAAAAAACCCCACCATTGTACGACAAGTCTTGTTAGTTATTTTCTGTTCCTTGTATCCTATGACACATTTCCCATTGATACAGCTACAGCTATATAGAGATACACACTGACACAAAATACATCTCTGAGAAAATGATGCAGCTTTACTAGACAATAAAAGTGTGTGTTGTTGTGTGTGAAGCCAGAAATATCTCTCTGTGACACATGTTAGCGTAAAAATAGTCTTTTGGTGCGTTAGTTGCTAACTGCAGCTTGTTTCATGCCTCCCATTTCTCTGGTTGATCTGTTATTTTAAACCTGCTTTTGGGCAGTGAGAAATGGCTGTATAACAATGGTTGTAGTGTTGTTGTTGTATTGGATTACATTATATTAAAAAGTGCTTGCACACAGTGTATGGAGAAGCAAAATATGATTCAATACAGCAACACCACAAACTGCATGCTCAAGTTGAGTCAACAACTCCCTGACAAGGAAAGCAATGGAAATGTATACGTTTTTCAAAGGTCATATTTATTTAAGGACAATTGCATTTGATTGATTTCTGATGTTCTGGTCACCCAGTGGAATTTATTAAAGGGGAATCCACTTATTTTCCACATCAGTCTGTTTACAGGTGGTACCACTGTGCAAGTAAAAAAGTCTTTAGTGTCTCCAGAGTGAGCTTTGTGAGGGCTGATAAATGGTTTTGAGTGATCTCTGTTGAGTCAGTGTTTGTTGGGGCTGAAGAGTTTGAAAGTGAAAACAATCTGGTGGTATGGAGTAGTGTGCTTACCAGAACTGTGTAGCCTGCTCCTCATGTGTGTTGCAGGCTACTGGCTCCAGGCTACATTAGCAGCTACCAGCATAACACACGTGAATCTCTGACTGAACTGTTGCTGGGTGTGTTGCATTGTGGATGATTTAGGAGCCAGGTTTAAAGGAATAAAAAAGACAATATCTTTGGTTCTGCCATATTGATTTTGATCCTTTCTTAAAAGAAAAAAAATACTGTCCATTGTTAGTCCAACAGTGTTACAGGAGTTTGATGGTAGAGAAGGTTTTTACATTCTGCACTGAGTGGGATGCAGCACTGTACAGTAAATCTTTTATTTGATGTAGGAACACATTAGTGACAGT